TTTAAAATTCATTAAAATGTATAACGCATCTGAAGTCGACCTATCGATAAACTCTATTAATTGAATATTTTATTATGCATATACATGGAAGTAGTTTTCAGTGATTTCAATTACGTATAAATTGAATTAATCCATAAAGAACAAACCTATATGAATTCCTCTCACCCCATGAAATAACCATTATTCGACTCGAAATACTTCGAGGAGTGTGACAAGTGCATACAGAGACCGTTACAAAAATCAAAATATGGAGAATAAAAACATCTTGACAATTTATTTCTCTCCACCCCCAAGTGTGGCTATACGTTTAAATCGCCTGGAATTAATCGGGCGACATTGATTCCGCGATCATTACGTCGCATCGTTGTGCTCGGTGTCCCGTAATGCTCGCGCGGTAATATATAGATAAGGCGTCCCGACGCCGCGTCGCCCGCTGGCTATGACGCGCGTAAGTCATCGCTATGCGAATTAATATCGCGCGGACCGTTTAATTAAACGCTGATTAAGCCGAGCCGGCCGCGATAACGTTCCACCCGTCCACCCTAGGCCGGAACGGAGCTCGTTTCGGTATCCATTTTGTTGTCGACACGGCGTATCGTGCTTTCTGCGCGATGGGAGTCGAATCAGGGTCGCATGGATTATTTAATTGAATGCTGGTTAAGGTTAATAAGGTAATAGAGTTTGCTCGTTCGAACCGTGGTATGAGAACCTTTGCTCGCTCGTCCTCGCGGCTGATGCGGTGCAAATGAAATTTAATCTGTTTTTACCGACAATTTTTTGCTGCGCCGCAACACGGAGAAATTTATTATTTTATTAGGTGACGAGTTTACATTGTTTCCAGAGTGGAGGAATATTTTTAGTTTCCTCTTAGGTTGATTTTTACTAAAAATGATGGCAGTGTTTTAATCTTAACACACGAATACGTGAGTTATAATGAGTTACAATGATCGTAGCGTTGAAAATGTGATTTCTTTGTTCCTTTCACTACGGGAGAGGAATAGAAAACCAAAACATTCGTGATGTCTGAGAAATTTTATTCGACCAGATGATGACGCGTTATTTTCTGATATCGTCTGGGAGGGTGTCCAGGCTCGATTTAATTTTACATCCGAGTGGCTCGGAATTAAAGTGAGCGCAAACGGGATTCGATGGGATTTTCTACTTTGAATGAGCGATAAACAAGCCGCACAGAAAGCGACCATTGTCCGGCGCAGAAACGGGTAATGGGCATTGTTCTGTATTAAACCGGGAGTTAAAACGATCCTTATAAATAGCTCGGATTCAATTTTAAACTTTATATCGATACAGTATCGCGAGGCCTTGTCAAGAACACGCCTCTCTCCGTGGGACTTATGGCTTTCGACGAACTCTTCCGTGAGGTTGGATAGAAAGCTGTAAGACTCGAGTTTATCGGAGGACCTCGTAGATCGTTGCAGTATTTTCAATTTTACCAATTCTCAAACGAAACTCACAGAATCGGTATGTGAAAGTATAAGACTTGAGACGTGTATAATGATTTCTTAACAGAACCCATAGAGTTCCTATGAAGCTTAATAATTTATTTCTTCTACGAATTTCCAAAGAATGAATCTAACATAAATAAGACCCATTCTTTGAACCCTAAAAATTGCTAAAAACAATCAACCAACCCGTTTCGCTGAGTTGTTAAAAAATCCACCGATCTCAATGAAGGAAAAGACACCAGCAACAAAAACATGATATTACTCAAAGATTAATAATTTGCACCCACTACAAATTTACGATAAACGAATCAAACATAAATTAGGCACATTCTTCGAACCTTAAAGATCGCTAAAAAATATCAACCGTACTCTTCTCCTCGCTCGTTAAAAAAAGCCACCGACCTCGAATCGCGGGAAGGCTTTATCAGAAGCGAAAAAGCGGGAGGGGAAGGTGGAAAACCGCGCGGGGGCGTGGGGGGAAAGGATCGTAACTTTGCAGAAAATTGTGGCAGCGCAGGTAAATCGCGCGTTCTTTATTTGCTTCGTTCCGCCGCGAGCGTTTTTTCCTCCCAACCCTCCCGGACGTCACGGGTGAATTTATGCGCGCACGGCGTTGTTGATAACAATGTTGCAGTATAATACGCGAACTCGAGGGCTACAGGTCACCTGGCTCCTGACACGGAGAACGCGTACACGCGCGCACGACGTCATCGATCCAACTCGAATTTAGCTCGATTAAATTACCCCCGACCGAGTTGCTAATCACCGTCCTATCGAATTAGCCTAGCTGGAAAGGAAGGAAACTAAAGACTTACTTGTTGCTTCGATTCTAGATCCTAGAGTACGTTAGGTACGGTTTTGTCGTGGAGGGAGTGAGAGTGTTTCGAGAGTGTCTGCGATCGATTTTGTAGGAAAATGTTTAGAGATTTATGATGAATTTTTAGTAGGTTTCTACCTTAACTGTTGGTACTTGCTCATAATTTTAATATTAAATCGGTGTGAGCTAGTTGGCTAGAGAATGCTGCGGTTGGGCAGAGTTTGAAAGAAACCACCCTCGTTTAGCGTAGTTTAGCTTCTCCGGAGAGAGACGCGCCCAAATTCGGAGGCGTCAATTATCTTATCGGTCCAAAGGCAGAAGGGAGCAGTCACAGGTCCATCGCGGCGGACAGAGATTACGCTCGATTCACTAAAGCGGACTCACGAAGCAAGAAAGGTACGACGACCTTCGAAAAGGGTCAACGCACTCCGCCTGCCAAGCATAACGGAAGCGAAGCCACGGATTTCGAGTAGAACGAGCCTGAATGCGCGCATGCGACATGCACCGCGGACTTGCCGCGACTAATTTCTCGCGACTATCGCTTCCTGTTACGGAACATAGCCTAGTTACCCTCTAGCTTTTCATAGCTAAGCTCAGTACCATCTAAGCTCCCGTATCTAAGCCTAGGTGCCTTCTAGCTTTCCATAGTTGAGCTCAGTACCATCTAAGCTCCCGTATCTGAGCCTAGTTACCTTCTAGCTCTCCGTAGTTGAGCTCAGTACCATCTAAGCTCCCGTATCTGAGCCTAGGTACCTTCTAGCTTTCCGTAGTTGAGCTCAGTACCATCTAAGCTCTCGTATCTGAGCCTAGTTACCTTCTAGCTCTCCGTAGTTGAGCTCAGGACCATATGGGCCTCCGTATCTGAGCCTAGTTACCCTCTGGCTTTCCGTAGCTGAGCGTAGGTGTCCCCTAGCCCCCGTAGCTTCTATTACCTAAACCATGAAGGTTTCACTAAGCTCAGTATCGCTACTAAGCACCCCAATAGAAAAAATACAATACGATGCAATGGTTCGCAAGATAATAGAAAAAAAGAATAGTGGAAATTACTTTATCGCCCTTTCGGATAACGTCGGTGGGAAGGGTGGGTCCAGGGGTGGTCGCGAACGAGATTGACTGGCGAATGAAAACGAGGGATTGGAATCGTCGGTTTGCGGTATAACCGGCTGACAATGAAATCGAACCACCGTAAACGGACTAATTGCAGGCACAATAATTATTCCGCGGACGAGGCCCCGCTCGAGGGAGGGTGGCCGTGTCGTCTGGTCGCGTTCACGGATTACGAATCGATATGGGAGGGCTGGCTTCCGTTATTAACCCGCGCGGGCAGAGCCTGGCGCGTGCACGGATCGACGGATAACGTCGAAATTTATGGTCGCGCGTGCACACCCGCCGCAGACTCTTCGGGGACCGTCGCGAATAGGGTAGAAGAGCGGCATCGGTCTCGATCAGCCGACGAATCGGACGATTCGAAATTTCGGAACGTTACGCCGGGATCAACGGTGGCCACCAGCTTTCCCGAGATTGAAATTCAGTGAACAATGTCGAGGGGAGAGGGGGTTCGTTGAAGTTTATTTTTGCTCTTTGCTCCGAAATCACACCAGTTTCTTTGGTTCTTGCATCGGTTTTAGATGGTGGTATCGTTCTATTCGCCCTGTAGCAGGAGCGAAGGTAAGGTAAGGTTAGAATGGAATTTGTTAATGAAAGTTGAGATTTTTTCAAGTATAACTTCTTATACAACGTCAGACTGATTTAATATTAGCGTTGAATTTCCACGTAGGATGAGGTTGGAAAGAGAACGTGAGAGAGTGCCTTGCATTATCTTTCAAATATCTGGAAAGAAATAATAAAATTTTACCACCGTATCTAAAAAGTTACACTTCTAACGCGTAGTATCTTTTTAAGGGTATTATAGGTGCGTCGCTGAGGTTTTCACGATGAAAATGAGTTCAAACACGGCCTCGTTCGGAGCGGTTTTAATTTTACGCGATTCGTAGTTACTTTGGAAATGATTCGAATGACGATTGATCGATGTTGTCCGAATGGGGTCGTGTTTGGACTCGTTTTCATCGGGAAAATCTCTCCAATTATAATGCTTCTATGGAGATACAACGACAAATTGAATAGAATAATAAGTAGCAAACAAGATACGATAACGAATAATCTCATCGAGATTGCATAGAACCTCGTCACATTTAATGCAGAGTACAGGAATAATAAATTTCAGCTCGCTTTATTATGAATCTCGTTACAGAATAAACATATCCGATGAAAATTTAATTCTAATTGTTACCAAAAAGGAGAACAAGAGGTTCTACTAAAATATTGAATTATAGCTGACGCGGTAGGAATTTTATTTAGCTCGCGAAGATTCAAATAATTACAAGAAAGGGAAATAATAGAGTTGCTTTACTGGGATATTAAATTTAATCTCTCGCTGTACGAATTTTGTTTGATCGATGATGAACCAGTTTTGCGAAGAATTCGAATAATTACAAGCGAGAGAAATAATGGGTACTCTACAGAAATATCAAATTCGAGCTCTCGTTGGACGAATTTTATTTTATCAACTACAAACGTACTCGTATAGATTCGGATAATCACAAGGGAGAAGAACAACAGCTTTCGAATCAATTGTAATTATTTGCACTTCAGGTTAATTAAAGCCTCGCATCCATATTGGCTTGGCGATCGACGAATAACCATTTCTCTATGATTTTCAGGGCGGTCACGGATCCGAGGGACGGTAGGAGAGTGGCTTTGAAGAAACTGCCAAACGTCTTTCAGAGCCTCGTCAGCAGCAAACGAGTCTTCAGGGAGCTGAAAATGCTCTGCTTCTTCAAACACGAAAACGTGAGTCCACTTTTCATTAATCTATTCTAGAATAATTTTTACATTCTTTAATTATAACATATATAGGTATATTTTCATCTTGTCAGCGTGATTTCATTTCAAACATTTCAACTCGAAATGTTTTATCAGAAATTTTCATGTCCTATTAGTGTCCCGTACAATCATTTTCAGATTTATTAACAACCCTTTGCTGTAACATGATTAGCTTCAAGTATATGTATTTTCATTCTACCAATATGAGATGCACTTTTGTTTCCATTATTCAAACTCTAAACTTTTGTTTATCTTCCAACGAAGAAGAAATCGAAATTTTTCATCAGAATTTCGCGTATCTATCGAAATCACGAGTAAAATTGAATCGATCTCGCGATGGGAAGAAGCCAGAATAAAGACGTCCGGAATGAAATTCGTGTCGTCGTCGCGACGCTGGAATTCCGCGTCGACGTCGTTGCGATACGCTTCACCGGAAATCGGTGGCGCGCGTCCCTCCCCCCTCGGAGCCCTCGATTTTCCATAACTCGCTTATCTAGCGCAGCGGCTCCGCGCTTATCTGCGGAGAAAGGAAAATACAGCCGGCGTTTTGTTTTACGAGTGGCTGTTCCATATACAGGGTGGACCACCTACTTTCTGACACCTTAACCATCTCAGGCTTATATTCCCTCGAAATCATTTTAAGGAACGATAAAAATGTTAAAATATTATTTTATTATCATATGCAATAATATTAACACTAAACGTACCAAGCAGAGCCAAATGACCTCTTCTAAAATCCTTGTCGTAGATTCGCAAGCAACTCTGCCGCAAATGAGTTCTCTACAGCTAAACGAAATAGAAATACAGTACCTATATTACGAGCCAGGACGGAAAGATTCGAGTCTTTTTTAATGTTAAAATTCTGTTTGTAAGTTAAGAATTTTTTTCTAAAAATCAACTTGTTTATTACGCAAGGGGTCGAATGACTCATTATGGTAGGAAGTGGTACGTGTAAAGTGACGGTACGTTTAGTGTTAATCTGTTTTAATATCAAAATGTTCATGCTAATGTAAAGTAACACATTTAGTAAGTAATCGAGTAACGTCTATGAATTAAAGTCTCATGTAAAAAAATAAATTCGAGTTTGTACATACAGCAGGGCATACTTCGGAATAAAAATATTCTTCAAACGCTTTTATCTATGTCTCTTTTCGACAGTTTTCCTATGACTGTATTTTTGTTTTCTAACCAAGTCACGATCTTTGTGTCGCAGGTCCTCTCGGCCCTGGACATCCTGCAGCCACCGCACCTGGACTTCTTCCAAGAAATGTATCCTTTTCTTTGCTAGCCAGCCAAACAACTTCGAAAAGGTTTGTTCTTAGGATAAATTCCGCGAGTGCTGATTCTTTTACGGCGCGGCTCGAATTTCCAGGCTATTGTCTTTTTCCGCGAGGGTAACTCGGGCTCGCAAACCCCCGAGGAAACGAATTACTCGACCAGACCGCGACTTTAGAAATCTCGTTTCGCCGAGAGTGGCTTCCTTGACACAGGAAAATCGCTTCTCTTCACGATATTATTATTTAACATTGATTTAGTTTCTACCCGAGTTAACTAACCGCTCGCGCCACGCTACGAGGTATGACTCGAAACAAAACACGGAGCTAATACAGGCACAGAGAATAAAATTACCTCGAGAATGTTTAGTCCCCGAAACTCTAGACTTTGAACTTGGGGCAAAGTTGTAACTCGCTTCGTCTCGAACCCGATAAATAGTGATAAAATTGGACAACTGTGAGGAAGGGGGTGGAGTTTAATCGGATCACGCCAAGTCAACGATCTTGGCGCGTCCACGAGGCTGGTCGGTGTTTCCGGCGCGCCTCCACTTCCTCTTTTGTTTTCCGATTCACGCGGAAGCCGGCTCACGCAATGCTCGTTGGCCGTCTCAAACGACGTGGAAACTTTTAATCGGGCCCGAGTTCGTTGCAGCCAGCAATTAAACCGTGGAAGGGAAGAGACTCGATCGAGAACCGATCCAGAACTCTATTGAACCCTTTCTCGGCTCTTTCTCTCCATTCACCTCCGCCCCTCGACGCGAAAAAAAAAAGGAAAAACCTCCCCGTGAACGATTGCCATTCGGTAAACCGACATTTTCCGTTTTCTCCGCCGACCTCGTTGTTCCCTTTCTATGTCTTCAGCCTTTTTATCCTCTCCCTTCTTCCTTCCGCCTCCTCTGTAGATATCACGGAACGGTAATAACCGCGATCTTTATCGAGGAAGGATTCTGGCTGGTTCGAGGGGCGCGAACCTGGCCGATGAACGCTACTACACGGGGTGTCTGGTAACGAGAGGGGTGGGTTGGCGTCAAGGATTTTCGCGGGGACCTTGCTCGTAATCGAGAAGACGTTTTTTCTTGCGTTTTAGGGGATCGTGAAGGTCGTAGGGTTGTGCTGAAAGGATGGTGTTCGATAAGTGTCGCACCGTGGTACCGAGTTCGTGACGCCTCTCGAATCGAGGCAGTGAAATTTTCTAAATAGCTTGGACTATCTTCGCTAGAATACTAGCTACAGTGTTCTCGTCTCTGTCCTACTCGGTCCCTTAAATTCATCTTACGGTTCGCCAAGCCATTTAACTATCATCCAAGTGTCTAAAAAGAACCGGACTCCCTTCTACCCTGGACCACGCACACACACACACACACACATACGCACACACACGTGCACACACACACCCAATTTAAAGTGTCCAAAATTACACCACCACTCGCCACCATTCTTCAATCTCAGTCGCAGAGCCATTAACTATCATCCAAGTGTCCAAAACGAACCGGATTCCCTTCTATTGGAAATAAGTGGAATAAATGAGTCTTTTATTAATTTTAAAGTCTACGTTTATTCAACGGCTCGGAAGGACGCGTTAACGGTTTAAGGAACGGACGAGAATTGACACTGAAAACTCAGGCCTACGAGGAAGAGAAACTCTAGCGTATACTTAAAGAAAGAAAATTCTGCCTGCGCTCTGTTTATTGCCCTGGCCTTCGACGACAAACAGTCAAGGGTTCTCAGACCTGGTGGTGCCAGTCCGATACTCTAACTTACAGAGAAAGTGCCTCTCAATGCTAGATTCATTTTTGTTGAACTCAAATTATACATATATATAATTCAACACCTTCTACCCTGGACTACGCTTTCCTCCGATTCAAAGTGTCCAAAATTACACAACCACTCGCTACCATTTTGCAATCTCAATCGCACGGTGGATCGCCTCTGGGTGATAAATCTGTCCAGGGAAAGCTAGGGAATTTCTGACAGTCAGTCGAAGCCGGTGGCTGGAAGGTCCCGTCGACCATCCCTTCTCGAAATGAAATTAAACCCTGAAGTTCGGTCGGCGAACGGGGCGGGGACGGACACGTGTGCGAGAAGCTAACCTAATAAATCTCGAGGCACCTTTCTCACGTTACGAACGCTGGAAGATCAATAACGCCACGTTCGCGTCACGTTCCGGTGGGAAAAAGCCGGCCGCTGAATCGGGCCTTAATTTCCAGCCAGAGTTCCAGTCCCCGCCGCGGTGGCTCCAGACATTTCCTGGACGTCGAGAGTCCGGACGGCCATCCGCTCGCTGAAGAGCGGGAATTTTCGGCGAATTTTGACGAGCTGATCCTTTCAACGGCGCGGAAAATGAAGTGGAATACACGGCTCGCGAAAGTATCCCCTCGAACCAGCGCTCGGCCAGCGTATTTTACGTTTTTAATCAATTTTAAAGTTGCAGTAACCAATTCTAACTAATGCGGAGAGAGAAAAAAAAAATTGCGCACGGTTTATTTAGAAGAGTGGATAGGAAGGGAACGCGAGGCAATTAGCTCGAAATCTGTTGGCGTACGTTTAATTACATTTATTTGACGGCGGATATTAATTACGTGCCTTTACGTTTGATATAAAGGAAGACACAGAAAAAAAAATGAAAGGGTATGGGTGCTCTTAATTTCCGGAAGAAGAAACCAAAAAAATATTGAACACGGTTTGTAGGAATAGGAGTTGCTTCATCCCGTGACAAATGCGTAGCTTGAAATTTTAATGAAACCTCGATGAAAAAAAGTAGAGTGTTAGAGTTAACATTTTTATATTAAATTTCTTTAATTTTCGTAGTCGGTGAATATATCACGAACACGAATTTAGTACCTTCTAGTTGATTTTTCGTTGAAGCTGGTTAAAATCTTGTAAATTCTTCGACCTTCGTGGTTTAATAACGATCGCGTAACGTACACTCCTGGAATAACGTTGCTGGTCGAGAACAAACGGCGTTCCACGTAACCGTCTAACGATCTGTACGTAACCGACACGGCTCGGGCTTACGTAAGACCTCTGGTCTGCGAGAGGGAAGTCTCAGCTTCTCGGGACACGAGAGATTTCGGTAGGTCCCTGTGTATTTGCGTCCGAAAGGGGGATCTCGTTTAAGAGAGATCTCGAGATTGAAGTACGAAACACGTAAAACTACTTTTTGGGGTTTACACTTGGTCGTTGAGTTCCTCTCGACGGGAATCCACTTCATTCGAGTCGTCGAGTGACGACATTTCGCGGGACCTTCGCGAAGGAGTATTAGAATTTTGGTAAAATGTCGGAAACGTTTCGTGACCGAGTTATATATTTGCAGAAGCGCAATCCCTTTGGCTCGGGAATGCCGAGCATCTTCGCGAAGAATTCCTAGAATTATAACAAAATTCTTTAACACGGATGCTGTCGATATATCGAGGATTTCCTTAAAGTAAGTTGGAATTTCAACAAATTTGCGAGAAACGTTCCAGAACTGAGTTACGTAGAACTCGTTCCGTAAGTAGCGTTCAAAGAAACCTTGATTTTTAATCAGTCATATTTTGACACTGTCTACTTGTTAGTAGATTTATTTATCTGGCGCGAATTGCGTAATATATAATCCCATGGTACACACGAAGGCAGCTCGATATTGAAGTAAGATGCTCGTAGACGTTTCTCAGCTTTCAGTCGATAAAAAACGAAAGATAACGAATAAACGGTAGTTCCAGTTTGGTTCTACCTTCCGTAGAAGCAAACAGTGTTTCACCTTTTGTCGTCTAAATGAAAATGAACATTCTCTGCCATTTTGAAACCTTGGAAGTCTGATTTTCCAAATTAAATTTAAAAAAAGATATTAATGTATTTATTATTTGAACAATTTTGATAGCTGACGTTTATTTTTGTAATTTTTGTTCAAAAGAACATTACGCAATGGTAACACACACACAGCCAAATATGAAAACAAGCCAATTGTAAGTGTACGATACGATTTAAAAGTCCGGTATCAAATTCGAAACTTTTAGGACATTTAAGTCGATTACGAATCTATCTCTCTGTTCCTTTACTATTTGTCCCAAATTTGATCAGCACGATCTCCACTGACCCGATTGAATCCACTATCGATTTATTCATTCCAACTTCGTCCAAGTATTCCTAGTCCATGTTTTCCTGGCAGAACCCACAGTTCCCGATTATCTTCGATTCCTTCGCGATCCGAAGGATCCTGGTCGCAACCAAGAAGAACAGTAGTCGTCCGTCGCGTCGTCTCGACGAATCGGAGGTAGGCGCCGTCCAAAGTGGCCGAATGATCGATCGATCGATCAACGAGAAATCGATAGTCGATCCTCCTTAAGTGAACGGGATCCAGCGGACCAGCCACGAGAGTTAATCTCGATGAAGGCAGCTCGATAAATCAGCTCCCTCTCCAGCCTCTTCCTCGCCTCTTCTTTCCTCCTTCGTTTTCCCTTTCGACTTGTCTCGTGATTGCCCCGTGATATTTTCTTAACAAATCAAGATTATCCTACTATTTTCTCGCGTTGATCTTCGAGTCATCCACGTGGACAAGGATTTTAGAGAATCTTCTTCCCGGAGACATCGAGCCTCTTGTAGGTTTTCTGTTTATTGCTCTGTTCCTCTTTATTTCGAACAGCTTCGTGCCCTTTCAGTGACGTAAGATACAAAGGTTGCAAGGGTGTAAAGATGCCTCTGATTAAACCTGTATTAAACTTGCTCGTGTAGAAGTAGAATCAGCGAGCAGTGGGCGTATGTGTTCCCCAGGTCTTCGATACACCCCAAGAATTTTCAGTTTCAATTTTCTCTAAAACGACATTTTCCATTTTTTATACAAATCTTCTATCGAAAAGATTCCAATTAGTTAAAAATAACCGATACTTGCCCAAACCTTCCGCACCCAATTTTCTCAGAATCAACGTCTTCTACCAAACAACTTTACTCTTCGTTTCCAACTCAGTTTTGCATAAGCAATCACCTCGAAGTTCGCTAGTGCCGCGCATTTTCACCCAG